TGGGAAGGCATTTGGAGGGCGCCGTCCGTGTGCCGCGTTACAACTGGGAGCTGGGGCAACAGGAGACCATTACTGGCTGGTTCCTGCTAGAGTCAGGTTCTGGCTTCTCCCCTGGTGCCCTTGTGGGGCCATGAGTGCAGCAGGGCCAGGGCCTGGATTATGGGACGTCTGCATTCAGAGCCAGGAGCCAGGGAGGGACTGGCCTGGCCAGTGGTGTCCCAGGTGGGCTCACTAGGTGGGTCCCCAACCCCACTGTGGAGGGGACATGTCTGGCGAGCTGGGCCAGCCTCCCTACCTCAACCTGTGGGCTCTTGTCCCAGATAATCAAGTTCTGGAGCTGTCCTGTGCCAGTGGGATGTCTAACAGCATCTCTGGCCTCGCCCCACTGCAGGCCATTACTCGTGATGGCAACAATGTCTCCAGACAGTACCAAGTTTCCCCTGGGGGGAGCAAAACTGCCCCCAGAGAAGGCCACCGAGCTAAGCCCCGTCCCACTTGCGATGGAACTGGTCGGTGCATGCTGCACGATTCACAAAGCCAGAGCCTCCGGCAGGTTACGTGACACTCCAAGTCCCAAGCTTGGCCGGGCAGAATTACCCAAGCACAAGGGCGTCATTGTGGCTGGTTTGACTGCACAGGGGCCGAGGTTGGATGGACAGGAACTGAGGGGCTTAGCTCCGCCGGCAGCGCAGGGTCAGCCAGACCTGGAGGCCAGGGTAGGAGGGTCAGAGATGTCATGAGGGTGGGACCACCACAGAGCTGGAGGCCCATGTGATTCTTCCCGAGGTCAGCGAATCTCAGACCTGGGGCATTTGGGTCCTGGTGGCCATGAGTGCAGCTGCGAAGAGTCCAGGCCCCAGGTGGGAGACCGCTTCCTGGAAGCTGGGCTGTCAGGGAGGACGAGGGAGCGGAGGACTGGGCTGCACAGCGCCCACCCAACCCAGGCCACGTCCAAAATGCAGCAAGCCGGGCACGGCCAGGGGCAGCGAACGGGACAGGCCAGGCGGGTCACCTGAGACTGGCCAGAGGTCTCGCCAACTCCACCTACTCATCCTGCTCCACGGCTCCTCCTGGCAAGTCCCTCGCGCCCCTTTCTGACCCCGGCATGTGTGTTGGGGACACCAGGTGGTGTGTTTCCTGGCAGTAGACAAGGGAGTGCTGTGGCTTCCCAGGACCAGGGTAGGGAGTCCTTTCTAGGCTACCCTGAGCGGAGGCAGCAGGACATCACCCGGAGAGCAGCATGGCCGGGCAGGGAGCCTCCGAGGATGTCCCTGCTCACATCAAACAGTCCCCACATGGGGGGGACAACAGGGGACACGGGCCTCCCAGGAAGAGGCAGAGCCTGAAGGAGGACAGGGCGGAGTGAGCTCCAGAGTCTGGCAGCCCTTGTTTACTTCAGGAATTGAACCTGGCCGACTGTGGGGACGTGAGCAGACTGTCCCTGTCCCAAAGGGCTCATAGGTATAGGAGACGGGGCAGCCAGCTGGCAGGACTCACTCCCTGTGCAGTCTTGGAAGAGCTTCCCGGGCCCTCCTGTTCCACGACTTGGAGCTGCCGCCGCGGCTCATGTGGCCACCACAGGATGTCCGGCCTCCCTGTGACACTTGCCCAGTCAGCGTGGCTAGCCACTGAAAGGAGTCTACGCTCTCAGCCCCTCCCCTTCACCGGCTCCAGGACAGCAGGTACAGGCCAGCATCCCAGTGAGGAAACACAGAGACCCCTGTGGAAACCAGCCAGCCCGGAGGAGAGGCTGCTAGACTCAAACACGGCAGTGGGGTCCCCAAGAGCCCTCAGGAATGAGCCAGTGTCCACAGTGCATGCACCTGGGCCGCCCTCCAGCATCACACCTCTCTCCTCAACAGAAGCAGAGGCAGACAGCCAGCTACCCACCAGCAGACGTGGCCATCAGGGGCCAGGTCAGAGAAGGTGTGTGGCGGGTTCGGAGCTATGGCGGCCAGCCAAGAGGAAGATGCTTGTTTACAAGACAGAATCCTCTGAGTGGAAAGAAGATGTTGCATCCATAAAACAAGAACAGGGTGATGTGGATAAAGAGGGATAGTCAAGGGTTAGGATTTGGAATAATGAAAGTGAGAGACTGGGGGAAAGACTGGGGGGCTGAGTAGAGGGACTCCTCCCAAAGAGGAGAGCAAAGAGGCGAAAAAGGAGAGAAAGGTAAGAAGTATTTCAGAGCCGGGCTCGGTGGCTCAGCCTGTCATCCCACGCCTTTGGGAGGCGGAGGTGAGTGGATTGCCTGAGCCCGC